CACGCTTCCGAAATGTTGAAGAAGTGCGAGAATGGGTGGACGAATGGATTGCTTCGAAACAAACATCGTTTTATCGAGATGGTATCGCCCAGTTGCCAGAAAGATGGCAAAAAGTTGTAGAAAGTGATGGAAAATACTTTCATTGAAATAATTTAAATAAATTTTTTACAATAAATGCTTTTTCTCAGTATTTTTTGGGCGGAAACTAAGTTAAGGTCCTAATACATACTCAATTAATTGCTGGTTAATTCTGGCCGGCGTGATGCGGGTGTCATGGTGAAAATTAGCGTAAACTCGTGAGACACATGAGGACTCGTTGCGCGTATCAAATTTATGCGTGTTGCCCGCAGTGGAAATGGAAATGTCATTCGCATCGACGCCATTTGCCGAACGCGAGAGCTATGAAAAGTGTCTTGCAAATAGCGCTGGTGTAATTACGCGATCGTACCAAAACTCATACCGCAAATATGCAGTAATCCCCGGGCGGCCGCAGTTCTCGCGCGTAATGAAAGGAATTTATAAGCAGGTCCGCAAATTAATATAGTCACGCTGAAATTTCAATATATCGAGCTTAAATCAATTTTCGTCGATGTGAAAATTTCTCTCGCTCGCGCGCATTGGGATTTTGCAATAATATTTAGCTTCGGATAATATCCTTTGTCGATAGTAATAATGAAACGGTACGCGCGCAATAAATATTAATTGATGCAAAACAGAAATTAGCGATTAGCGTAGTTAGTGCATAATATTCAGAAAAATAGTATGATAACAGCCGAATACAGCACTGGAATCACTTCTGCTCCCGACACGTGCGACTTATTTTCGCATTCTACGGCATCTGTATTTTTCGTAACTCCACCCGTCGTCATCTCACCGTGCTTTACATCGATTAATCGTGAAGATGACTGTGTGTGTACTTAGTTTCACATTCGATGAAAATTTCTTTTTCGGTTTCGTCGTCGGTCTATGTTATTGAAATCCAATGGTCAAAGGAAAAAGTGAGTAACACCTCTCTCCTCGAGGTGCCCGTTTTGGCTCGCGAGTATGATAAAGAGATTTCCCGTCTTTCGTCCCTCGCTCGTTCCCGAGAAGAATGGCACGAGTAGAAGTGTCGAACATGTGCCCGGGATTGGCCGGCGCACTTGCTCGGCCGAGGAACTCCGAGGAGTCAGGTGCAAGGATGTACATGCGCGCGAACGTCGAAATATTTCTGAAAGGAACGGCTGGTCAGGACGCGGAAGGAGATGGGGGTAGATGAGGGAAGGATGGGGAGATCCGGAAAGTCCTTGGCAAAGGGTGCACACCTACGGTTCCTCCTCCGCGCGGTTCCTCCGAGAGGAACGGTAGGGAACGACAGAGAATTGGATAGGGATAGGAGGAAAAAGAGACAGAGAAGGAGGGGGG